CAATCACAGGGTTTAGGGTTTAGGGTTTAGGGTAGAATCTAGCTAACCAAATTGTGTTAGTGAATGAGTACCGTGACTCAAGGATCTCTAATTACTTTCTGCAGGGCAATCTAAGAACACCATTAACTCCAACAAAAGCAGATTTCTTCAATGAGAGGCATGGCACGGCGCAGGTATTTTTGCTTTATGAAGGTTTAGTTGAAGGGTTACATTTCTAGACTTTGGAAGTTCTTTGAAAGGGTTATATCTTTATAATTGGGATCCAGAACCAACCGTGTTTAACTGATAGTATGGCCGCCAGCTGATATCGTTCTTTACATTCTTTTTCAGCTGTAGACTCTCAGACTTGAAGCATGGCACGGACCACATGAAGATGATATCGAGGATCCCCCTCCCTGTAATAGTGGTATAATAAGAATATAAGAGGACCCTAATATAATCCCTATTTTCCCTTATAGTCACTATTACTGGGTGGGGGGTCCACCTAAGTGACATCGAGGATCCCAACTTAATTTTGAAATGTGGCAGGAAGTCTGAAAATTCCCTCAAGTTCATCAGCCAACTGAGACCCTCCACCCACAACCCTTAGGGTTTAGGGTTTAGGGTTTAAAGATGGCTCAAGTTTCTTTGGGTGATGCGCAGATTGTTCATTGAGGTGCCTCTGACTTCGCAGCTTTTCATGTTTGGCGGTGTTTTATGAACCTGGCTGCTTGAGGGAAGATAATTCGACATACATTTGTTTAGCATCTTTTTCGAGTCTTAATAAAACGTCTTACCTTAGTTTTCAAAAAAAGTTCGTTCAAGCATTTTTCCTGGCTAGATCAGGGGGAGTGGGGAACAGTTTACAAACCCTTTTGAGCTGCTTTTGCCAGGGGGGTTTTCAGTTCGCTGGCATTAATTCCAAAACGGAACCAAGAACCACCCGTGGTCCTGGATTTTTGGCATTCCAAATCCCCGCAAAACCGCATATACCCATGCGCACCTAAGACGCCAAACACATGATCACGGTCATCAACCCACAGAGGGAGCGATGATGATGTTGATGGTCATGGTGATGATGAAGACATTTAGAACTACAAGGTTCCTGAAAATAATTTTTAATGCCTGTTACCTAGAATCCTAATATTTAGCTGAAATTATAATTTCTACTGGGGTTCCAAATCCCTTAGAGAGAAGCCCGCGTCACATGTGTCTCCTCGAAGGGTCTTGGATACTTGGGAGGACTTGGTGAGTACTTTCAACCGGGATTCTGGAGCTCCTCAACCCAGACCCCCTAAAGGATCCAAAAAATGGAACCCCCTAATAATCCCCTAGTCACCCCAACGTAGTAATGGGTTCATATTGGGGGGGGGGGTGCATTTTTTGGATCCTTTAGGGGGTCTGGGAACTCGGGTGTTGTTGGGGATAGCAAGTCTACTTCCAGGTTTCCGTTGCACATCCATGTTGGAGCCAGGACACGATCGACGGCCTGCGTGCGCGATTGGACAGCGCGCTATCTGCCTAGGGCTTGGGCCTCCTCCTTATAGGAGTTTCCATTTTATTTTCCATTATCCCCACATAACCCCAATATAATCCTATAACCCCTATATAACCTGTTGGGTGTAGGGTTTCTGGTTGAAAGCTGAGGGGGTTGTTCGTGTCAAAGGCGTCACAGGAAGCGTCTTGAACAAGCTTGGAGATCCCTCCCAACATGCTTTAATTCGCGAACCGACGCAAGACTTCCTGCATCAATTGAAGGGTTCTGATGGGTCATGCGGTGACGGTCCCATGTTGCGGCTGTGCTGTGATTCGCCATTGGGTTTGCTGTTGACTGAGGCCGCGAAGATCGCCGAAAAAGAACAGGATACTGCTGTTTTCTGGACTTGCTTATTCATGTATGACCTTTATCAAGTCCCGATAAAGTAATACCCGTACTGTTCCGATTGGTACTTTGTTCAAAAAATGCATCTCCGAAACTGTAGAACCCTAAGTATAGGACATTCTAGGTATCCACCCAAAATGGGCCACAATTTTCATAAACTCTCATGTAACCCTAGAAGCCCAGGTACCCATATAATAGGTTCTCGGGTTATGGATAGTATAGGTTTATATACGGAACCAAAGACAGGAGCCCAATATATAGGTAACTGGGCTTCTAGGGTAACAGCTGTTTAAGTTGCTGGGCGCAGTCAGGACTTGAAGGCCGAGCACGAGAGCGCGCTGGCAAAGGCTTTGCCGCGCTTTGTGTAACCCTATAGTCCCCCTTAAGTAGATAGAATATGGGGATTATATAGGGTATATATTGGGTTATAT